ATGTATATTTTTTTCCCGATATTTTGAACTTTACATTATTTTACTGTATAGTAGATGCATGTCATATTTATTTTGGTAAAAAAAAACACGCTTATTTGGCACATTTTTCTTGACAAGGTTCTCAGCATTCTTGTTTTCTCTTCCAGGTGCAACGGGCACTGGACAGGAAACAAACGAAGCACGGGATCCAACGAACAACATCCAGGAAGCTATGTACAGACACCCTATTAGCATAGGAAGACAGACCAGCAGGCACTCCATCAAGCCGCTCGGAAGATTTTTTTTCACCCATCAGGGAACCATCGAGATTTTTTTACTTCCGGCTGGTCATGTCTTAGGGTCCTCACAAACCCACTAGGGGGGGAGTGAGCTGTAGCGGTAAATAATTCCCCAAAATTATTAACTACAGCAATCATCACTCAACATTGGATGCTGACCATCACTGTTTAAGTCGACTTGTTTAGCTGAAGGCTTACGGTCAAGCATCCCCGCCATTTGGTGCTCCGTCGTGTCACGTGCGTGCACGATTACTAGCTAGCTGAGCATTCATTCCTACCCGCGATTTGGTCCCAAAATATATATCGTATTTGGACGACAAAATCTGGTCTTTTGCTTTACCATTTGGTACTCGAAGAACGAACACTATAGTGGTTGTTGGTATAAGATCTTGCGTTAGTATAATCCGTACAACTCGCGAACGTCGATACCTACAGCCCACTAAAATCTTTTAGAGTCAACGTTGACAATTGTGATGTGGCCAAATTTCCTGGGAGACCTAGGCCTTTTCCACACAAATGCCTTTAGATGCTGACGGTATTTATGTTCACGGATAGTACGAAGTATACCAACGCAAGATCTGATACCCACAACTTCTATAGTATTCCTACTGCGTAGACCAGAGGCAAAGCAAAACACAATAGTTGATCGTCCAAATTACGAGATATATGTCAGGATCAAATCGGAGTGCTAGGTGATTGCTTAGCTAGCTAGGGATCGTGCACGAACGAACGAACGTGACACAACGGCGTACCAAATGGCGTGGATGCTTGACCGGAAGCTTTCAGCTAAACAAATTGACTTAAACAGTGAGGGTCAGCATCCAACGTTCAGTGATGATTGCTGTGGCCAATATTTTCGGGGAATTATTTTTCCGCTACATATCTGACACACAAATCTATTCTTCGGCAGGTTTCTACATGTTCCTTCTGGCTATTCGTCTGCTGTAGTCTTAGTTGACTTTCAACGATGCTGTAGTGTATGAGGTTGGTTACATTACAGCTGTGTGCGGTGGGTAAGAATCACGCTACTGCTCTGATCGAAGTCAGTTTTTCCACCATTTAGTCGTCTAGTATAGTAAAAAAGTGAGATAGCAGTATGTTAATAATGGCAAATATAAGTAAACGAAATAATAGGTAGTCAAAATGTATATTAGCACACGAATGAACAAGTAGTGTAAGTATGAGTGAAAGAGTGAGGCAGGAAATACTGTGTGAGCGAAAGGTTGAGTTTAGTTGAAAACACATTGCTACATAACAGTATATAGGAATTATACCTTAGTTTGATGAAGCAAATATCATCTTCATACAAACAAAGGCTTCAGCTAAAAATAAAATCATATCAAGAGCGGTGGTTTTCTCAGAGTTAGACAAAAGTAGTGAACAGTGAGGCTGAAACAATTTCCCTGAAAACCAAATGTGGACATGATGACTGATAGGTAACACGGTGATTCATACAGATAGGTATATTTATGCTCTTGAAACGTATTTTTGTTGATACACGGGCGGAATATGAGTATCATTTGTGATTCACAGAACTGAATACTCGTATAATAAGAGACGCTTATATCAGCACCACTTCGCTATGTCTCCTCTATGTTAATGGCTGCTTATTGAGGATAACAGGCACAGAAGCTACTGAACATATATACTGAAGACAGAAGCTAGCTAGTCGCCGGTCTTTAATTAAGAGAATACTCATGCAAAACTTTGGACGATGGACGGGAGAAACTATGCTTTCTAAAGTTACATCAACCATGGAAACGCAGATGGTAGTTAGACTGTGTTGTTTCAGACAAACCTCTTCTTCTGGTATTTTTTCACTTCTCAGGAAGTAAAAAAACCCTCGATTTTGAGTGTGGAATGCTAGGAGTCAAAGAAACTCGTGAACGAAAATGGGTGGCAGATATTTCATTCCAAACTGTGAGTCTGTTTACTTCTACTGTTGGAGTTCAAAAAAACTCGCGTACTGACTTAATTCGTTTGAACTGTTGTGTTATTATATTTTCTCAGTTTTCCCCATACCTTAACCCATCCAAGAATATATGCATGCTTAATTTAAGATGAGGAAGGTTTTCGGGTGGCCAAGACAAAGATCTTTTAGAATATGTGGCACATAACGGCCAGCAACGCTATTCCTAACTTAGACCAGCAAGTTAACGGGCTTTGGAACCTAAAGACAACGTAAGAAACTGACCTTTAAGAAGAATATCTGTGTTTTGGCAGGCGGCTATTGGCTACATAACAAATGCGCAGCTAGAAATACTGCGGTGATAGGAGTTGATCACAGCTGAGAGACAGTGTTATTTTGGCCGACTCAAACAGCGCTTAATTACCAAAGCTATACATTTTAAGATTAGTCACCGCTTCATAACTGTCCAAAAGCCGCTTTCAAGACGTCCATCTCTTCAATAACATCTAAACTAGCAAGCCGTCGATTTATGCGTACAAACAAACGAAACCTATGAAATTTGCATTCGGTTAATTTTCAAATACCTAAGTGGTATTTTTTTCCGAAAGAATTGCTATATGCTAACCAAGAGGAGAGAGACTACCGTCAATAAATACATCTTTCAGCAGCCGTGTTATACTCTCTTATAGTAAGTTGAAGAGGTGTTTAAAGCAGCCTGAACACGAGGTTAGGTGGGCCAATCTAAAGAGCCGGCAGGTAGTGTGGCTAGGACTTAGGTCTGGCAGGAATGATAACCACAAATCAATTGTGTGTCATGGCTAGTCAAAACCAACTGGAAACGAGCTCCAAATCTGTTGAAGCAGCCTAACTAACCGGTTTCCTAGAGATCAACGAAGCCTTGAAACGAATGACAGGTGTAAAACAAAGTCCCCTAAAATCACCGACAACCTTCCTGCTTGTGATAGACTGTTGTTTATTTCTTCCCTTTTATCAAAATTTTCTTTACAGTGGCTATTGTATTCTCATCCTTTTCAACCTCAAAGAACAACCGACCGGTGAGAGGACTAAATTCAACCTCGGAGGTGACGCAGTCGTCACACATACCACAAACTTCCATGTGATTTTGATCAAACTCCGACTGCCTACGGTGACCGTGGGTCTGTAGCAGAGAAGTGGGGGAATCAGCCAGAAATGCTCCGAAAATTAAATGTCCAGGTTTTATTTACTCAAGCTGGCCCGGAGCAGCACTCCCAATGCCTTACTGATTTTTTCGAAATAACGATCATAAGCTTCTCCACACTAAAGATCTTCCGTATGATGGAAAGATTACGACACCATGCATTAATACGTTCCCTTACACAGAATGGGCCAGGCAGTTATTTGTGGCTTACTTTCCTCATGTTTGGAGGGCTACTTAAATGGAGGTGAATTATGCACCAAATTCAGCCGTTTCAGGTCACCCGGTAACTGCTCATCTTCGGGAATTTCACAGAGCTCTTTAAAGCAGCCCTTGGTACCTTTAGTTTTAAAAATGACTCGCAATGCCGCCCTAACCACTCGGCTCTTCTTTGCGCTGGTGACGTAAAGATTTGGAGAGCGGTTGTATGTTAGGAAGACTAAGACTAGTTGCAGGCTGACCTTGGATTCTACAAGACTAAGCAGATAACATTGGTATGTCTTCCAGCCCAAAAGTAACGAGTGGTACAACTACGTACTCAGAACGCACTGAGAATAAATTACTCCTGGTGCGACAACGACATTGAGAGGTAAGGGCGCGACTTAGATCTTGTTCTGAAGGAACAGTATGAGGTGAAAGCATAAACAGTTATCCACTTCAGGCAGAGACTGCTAGACGCACTCACTCCTGTGAAAGACATAAACGACAGTATCCTTAATTGCATAATATCATTGAATCACTGTTACCTAAAAATGATGCCAGTAATTCAGAAAGAGTCCGAAGCAGTGTCAATAAGTTATAACGGCATTCCCTTTAGCCAAGAGTCGAGGATCGTGCGTCTAAGAGCAAATGACTCAAATGCCCACATTTTTTCTCTCTGAGATTTCCGTCCCTGTCATGGATTGTGGATACTGCATCATCCAATGAAATCCTCAATCAGAGGCTTAATAGTCATCCGGTAACACAATGTCTGTCTAGATAGGCTACCTCTTTGAAAATCACATACTGCATTCTAGTGATTGTTATCATCTAAACTCATCTTTTATCCCAGCCAGTCCTTCCTGTCTCCACCTTCTGATTTCTTCGCCTTCTCATCTACTCACTCAATGATTGTGACACTTCATCTATTTATCTGGACTGGACTTATCCGGCATGTTGGTTGAAATTTCCCTTTTTAAATTCATTTTATGAATAATTTTTAATAAAATTGTGCCTTTTATTTCCCGAATTGTTAGGAATTCTCATTTCCTGACTAGTCATCTTGGTGTCCGCGTCTGTGTTAGTCTTTCTGTTTCAGTCTATATAATCTCCACTGATTACGGCAAAAGAATAAGCACAACTATCTCTGTTTTGGACTACCATAGGAAAATAACGGCTGAAACAATTGATTCCATTTACAGCAGCATCATTGTCTTAAAACACCATATAGTGTAAGCTACATACAACCCATCAACCCCAGATTCCATTCAGAGTCAACCAAAGCTACAGCAAGCAAAGGATGGGACAACCTAGCAGAACTTTACGTTCATACTAAGAAGTAGGCCCAAGGAAATGAATTCGCTTTACATAAGCTGGTAAAAGCTCTGTTGGATATTGGATTTACGTTTTGATCTGTATTATGCTGCACCCGTTGCCGCCCTTTTAAAATCTCAAGGTTAAAGTGGAATTTACGTTAAAGTTGTTGGTAAGTTCGTCTAACTGTTTAACTTTGTGTTGGAAGTCACCAAGTATTTTTTAATGTGCAACTAGTATATAAATCATAGTCTCCACATCATCACTATTAGTTCTAAAGGGAATATAATGCTTCAAATGCCCACATCGATGGTTTGATTTGATCATCTGGTAATGTAGCGACATATATTGATATGAATACTGACCGTCTGTTTCCTAACTCCGTATAACTGAAACAAATCCTTGAATATGCCGTATATGTGAAGTTACTGCCATTTCGTAATACGTAGTGGCTGTAACTAAAATTGAAGTGTTTATGTAATGATTCTATAAAGTATCTTCTGTCGACTAGATGACCAATTTGTAAACCTTGAATTCTTTCCAGCAAGTATGTATGGAATACATAGTTCCTCAATTAGCACACGTATACTTCACTACCATATATTTCAAACATACCAGGAATTTCTCAGTAAGCCACAAATGTGCAGCAATGGACAGGTGTGTTAAGATTGCATTTTTATAGTCATTCGACTACTGGTTGTGTGGGGAGGCTGATATTTCCTGTCATCGACCAGCACTTTTGGTTAACTATAGAGAAAATATTCCTTCAGACATTTAGAAGAAAAAAATGTTGAGCGAAGAATATCCTCTTGGATAATTTCCTCTTCTGCCTCTACAATTATATATGCATGTTTATATACATAGAATGTTCTAGGAAAGTCGTAACTAAAAATACTGGTGTTCTTTAGTACTCTCAATTTGTTTTTGATATGATAGGAAAATAATCACGCTAAGAAAAAATAGGAAAGTATATGGGTTTGAAAGTAAAATCTAGTAGTATTAGGCAATATCATTTCTGAAGTAAAATGAAACTTCACTGACTTGTCAAAATAAAATTATGGATATACATTGCATTTCGGAGAAACGTATCTATCTATCTGTCTGTTTTTGACATAGAACTTTGCATCGATGTGCAGCAGTTCAAGTCGCCACACTCCATATAGCACACGAAGCAAGAGAAGAAAGTAGAAGAAATGCATAATAGAGACAGTAGACAGAGATATGAGACAAAAAGAATAGTAATAACGAAGAACAATATAGTTTCATTGGGCATTATAAGTCACAAGGAGTGGATGCATCTGCACCAGCCATTGAGGACGATTTTGAGCCATATCACCAATTGTCTCCAGCTTTCATTGGTGTTTACCGTCCCGAGGAACCAAACCAGAAAGTCTACACCTTCCTACATGGTTTAAACTAACTGTTGTGGATTTCATTGACTGATGAAGACATGTTTTGGTTTGACCACCACATGCTAGCTCTTTTCCAACTTGATCTTATGTCAGCTAACATTGCCCGTCAGTCGAGGAAGGCGATGGCTAGGAATGCATGCGTAACACATATCCTAACCATCTCAATCGATGTAACTTCACAGCCTCGTTTATTGATTTCCCCTCCCACCTACCTAACACTCGACCGATGCCTAACCTCAATATTGCTCACCCTATTATACCACCACCAAAAACGGGAGATAGAACTCAGGTACCTATGATCAAAGAGAGCTAGCTGGCCTTTTCATGTCTTCCACTCTCAATGGCCAGGTCTCACAGCCATAAAGGAGGACAGGGCGAACTACTGAGCAGTACACACTCCCTTTGACCGATAGCCAACCAGATATCACGTCTACTAAGCCAGAGATGGTGTAAGTTGGCCAATGCCAAACGAGCCTTCTGCATCCGTGCGGGGATTTCGTTGGTGATCAACCTGTTGGGGTTGATGCAACTTCCCGGTGAAACGTTTACAATACCCAAGTGTTGTTTCCAACTTTTAACCCCACTAGCCCATATACTGAATCTACAAAATTCACCTTATGGGAGTGAGTAAACACTTTGGCTAGTTCACGTGGATTTGAATACTAGAACATAAAATCTGCTACTCGATTGGATCCCAATGCACGTATCCGGCTGAATAAATTTGTAAGAGTAAGGAATAGTTGTAATACTCTTCGATGCCTTTTTCATAAACCATGCTTACGCCATAACCGACTGTCATTGAGACGAAAGGAAAGATGAATTATATGGAAAGCTGTCTAGTTTTCTGCTAGAAATAAAACGTTCAAACCTGATCTTTGTAGCAAGTGATTTCAATGTCCAAGTAGTAAAATTGTAGCGGTCAGTAAAATGTATTGGTGTCATATATGGTGTTCCATACCATCAAACCAACGATGGTAATCGTCCTTTAAAATTCTGTTCTGATAATCATCAGCTCCTCGTCAGCATTAATTTCAAACACAATGAGGGACATTACCTCTCCTGGTGATCTCCCACATCGAATCATATTTGGACGTAAATAGAACATGTAGCTCTAAGCTATGAGTTGTGGATCGCTGAAGACTGCCGCTTCTTCTGAAACACTTATGTAGACTCATATCACACGTTAGTCAGTGCAAGCGCTAAATAGATGCAGAATAAATTCAACTTTGAAGTCTCCACGTGCCCAAACTGATAAGAACACAAGTCTTTATTTAGGGACTGTAATACCCATGCTGAGGAAGCCTAACATAATATCCACTTAGCTGTAAAAAACCTAAAATCAATTGTTGGAAATCGCCAGGGAGTTTATGTTGCTTCATCAGAAGTAATGTATTCAAGAAGACTAATTCCTGGGCGCTCTGAACATGATGAGAAGTGCGAGTTGCCCAAATGCAAGTCGACTAAAAGCCTTCATAACGACTGAGTACATTCATGGTAGAAACAGGTGAAACATTGAAAAGACATCGGCGGTAGATAATACCACGCAACTAGTTAAACTCATTAGGTAACAGGCTGTAAAAACCCAACGGTAAGCTAGATGGTTCCCAAGAACAGTATTTTAATTACTTCCCAGGGATAGACAACTAAAACATTAGAGAGGATATGTTGAAGAGTCATTTAATTAACCTTAAGCCACATCCAATTTGCCCTGTACCTGCTCGAATGAGATGTACATATCAGTCCTCAAAATTGTAACAGAGGTTTCAAAAGCTGTCTCTACTCCAGGGTTCTACAAAGATGGTGGTGATAGAATGTCGACTAGGTTAGCTGAGATAAGGTTAAACATGGGATTCTAGAAATTCTCTGTTGGACTGGTGCAAGTCAGTTTGTGAGAAAGCAAACAAGTCTTCCTATGATTAACATACGAGAGTCAGCTTGATTAACGTCATATTTAAAATTCTAGGTTCCCTATTTCTGCTTAGACTAAGTGGTACTTAGGAAAACAAAACTGTCAAAATCAGACGAACCTTAGACCCTTAATCTGGGATGTTATCGTATGAAGTGATAACAACTAATGGTATTCGTCAGGGATCTACAGTGTCTGTGTTTTCCCTGTTGGTTTGCAGGGATTTGAGTGATATTAAATTAGATCAAAAGACTGACATCATTTACCGACTCAGTAATCTGGAAAGTTGTTTCATCTCAGTTTGGAACTTTAGCAATGCATATCCAAAACCCTCAAGTTACGAAGTTAGCCACTGTGACGAAATCCATTAGCTCATGAACTCTAAACTTCTGCTTACTACAGAAATAAACAAATTAATCTGATCACTTTAACTTCTTTTAAAATTTTTAAAGATTTTGTTCCTATGAGCACTGACATCCAAAGACCCCTGATACTTATCATTAAATTTACGAGAATAGTGGCAGAGAAATTACCATCTGCAGTTTAGACAAATAATCACATAGTGTACTGGTCATATTTCTAGTGTGCGGTCGTCTCATTACATTTATTTTGCTGTTTTTATATGTACTTCTATTGATGCATATATAGTTACAAAGTTTTATACTGATAAGGCAGATGGCTGTATAGTAAGTAAAAGAAGGCTTCATTCGATTGGTGGATGGTGACTAGCAGTGGAATCCATATGCGCTTTCTCTATTTGGGACTCGTCATCTGGATGTATCTGCATTTCTCAGTGAGTGATGATGTTCCCACCGAGGCTCGAACCCAGTGCCCATAGTTTCAAATGCCAAAGCGTTATCCTTGATATCATAAAAAAGGCTTCATTCGGTTTGTTTATCCTTAATTGGTACGAAATGTTAACAGTGAAAGGCAGGCATAGAAGTAACTTTTCGTCAATAGAAGTTTGTTTGTTTTTTTGACGACTACTCACTGTCTTTTATTTTTCTTTGATTGAAAACTTCAATGTTTACACTAATCCTGATTAATTAATTCATTCTTTCCATCAGTACTTTCTGTTTCTGTTGATTTCTTTTTCTGAATGCTGTATACGAAATATGGTAACCTGACTGACCGACTGGTTTCAGTGTAGAACTTTGCACAGATGTGCAGTAGTTCGAGTTACCACACTCCCTCCCCATGGAGCACACAAACCAAGAGAAGAGATAATAAACAGAAATATGAGGCAGAAAGAATAGTAATATGGAAGAACAATAGTTTTATTGGATTTGAGTGACAAATCACAAAGAGTGAATTCATCTGCACCAATCATTGAGAACGATTTTGAGTCATATCACCAATTGTTTCCAGCCTTCATTGGCTTTTAGCCTCTCGAGGACCCCAACCAGTCAGGAAGTCTACACCTCCCTACGTGACTGGCTGGCTGGCTTAAACTAACTGTTATGGATTTCATTGACTGATGAAGCCATGTTTTGGTTTGACCACCACTACCACTAGCTCTTTTCCAACCTGGTAACGTTAACTGATGAGAAATGTCAATGGACAATTACACTTGAATTTTTCAAGTACCGCTGAAGGGCCCCAAACTAGCTGACGAAACAGCCGTCCAGTACTTCCAGGTGGTTTTCCAATGGTTCTCTAACCGATGTCAGCTCATGATGAAGTCCTTTAACTTGAATTTTTATACTGTCATTAGGATGTTGGAGATATAAACTTCTGCTACTTTAGGTATTGATTTTGTTAATCACATGCATGGGAATAAATATCTGTTGTTTTTCTTTTCTGTTTCAGATCCTATGAACGCAGCTCTAAGCGAAGATTTGATTGATGAGACAGGTAATCTTGATGTGTTGTTTCGCCCTTGTTTTTTTAAAGATATACATGTATACGTATTCTGTGAAAGCTTGAGATTACTTATCTGCTTGTGAAGTTTGACCACACTATCTCTTTTGAAGATCTAAAACACCCAGGCCTAATATGTGATCTTCTCAACACTAACTGACGAAGATATCGAACCAATACTAATCACTGTTGTATTTTGATTGACTCATGTCACTTACATTCACTTTGTCTATCAGCTGGCAAGTTTCAAATCATAAATAAACACAATGGTGAATTCTGTGGATTAATCCCGTTTTGTAAGTGTCAAAGGGAACAAGAGTTCCGTCAAGGCTCCAGATTTTTTTATTCCTTCACGTTCCCAGTGGAACATAGGGCGACTTCAAGCTAGAGCTTTGAAGTTTCGGTAGCAGTCGGTGTGTTTAATTTTACGGGATAGGGTTGCTAGCCTCATGCCCCCCTCAACCTTTCCTCTTTTCCAGTCTTATTACTGGCGTAGCGAAGTAAAGAAGTGCGTCGGCGGCCAGGGATCGAACCCTCAGCCACCTGTGTGGTTAGCGAGCATTCTACCGCTGTTCCACCGACGCACAAGACTCCAGATACATCTCGTTATTAAATGCTGACGAGATGAAAATCTAGGTTAAGGCTTTTAGCGATTGATTTAATATTTAGTAATGATTAGGCGCCCGACAGAGTAGGAATCTGGGGACACTGTTAGCTCGCGGTATTATATTCTCTTTTGATTAATATCAGTAAACTATTATTATTACTATTATTCCCTTGGGTTCCAAGTGGAACATACGGTTTCAACCGTTAATCTCCGCTTTGCCTTGTTCTCTGTGATCCTCTTCAGCCAGCCTCACGATTGCCCATAGGCTCTTATCTTCTCCTCACACGATTTCCTTCATGTCATCCTAGGATTCATGCCCAACTCGGGTTCCACTCGAGGTTATGCCTGAAGCGCGATGTCATTTGACGGTCTCCTCAGCAACAGGTTCTTGATTGACTTGTCCCCCCCCCACCCCCCCCCATAGTTTCGTGTTTCTAATTCTTCCTGGTTATTTGAACAAAGCAAGAACTACAGTTTTAGCAGAATAAAATGGTACCATCTTTTATTTCGTTGCCTTCTCGTCAGCTGCTTACAGGGCAAAGACATTATTAAATGTATGTACAAAAACAATTTTAACATACTTGCACAGAGTTCATTTTAAACAAAAATCAATCGACCAATATACGCATACACTAATATATATATATATATATATATATATATATATATGCAATACTAAACACTATTCCGAACAATAATAATCATACACAATGAAAACTTTTCAGCATCTCGCATTTGGATGAAAAATATCCAGTTACCAGGCGGGGCAAAGAAAGACTGATAACCGCTTCTTTCTGAAAGCATAAATCAGGTTTCAGGCGCTTGATGGAAATGGCTTCAGCAAACTTAAGGAGAATGGAGCTCTTTTGCTTATCGGTAATTTTGAACGACTTTTCGACGTCCACCTCATGACCCGTGTCGAGGAGATGCCTGGTGATGGCACTGTTTAAAGCATTTGTTCCCTTTAGACGTAAGCTTTTTGGTACATATTCAGAAAATCGGAGGTATGCCCTTCTTTCTGTTCTTCCAACGCGAAATGCTGAAAAGTTTTCATTGTGTATGATTATTATTGTTCGGAATAGTGTTTAATATTGCATATATATATATTTATATATTATTAGTGTATGCGTATATTGATCGACTGATTTTTGTTTAAAATGAACTCTGTGCAAGTATGTTAAAATTGTTTTTGTAGATACATTTAATAATGTCTTTGCCCTGTAAGCAGTTGACGAGAAGGCAACGAAATAAACAATGATGGTACCACTTTATTCTGCAAAAACTGTAGTTCTTGCTTTGTTCAAACTCATTAAGGGGAATAAATGTATCAAAGATCTTCCTGGTTATTTGATCTTCAATATGGAGTGTGGCCTGTTGGAGATGCTTTTCTTGACATGACAACTATCAGTAAACTACTAATAATGGGCGTATTTATCCATTGATTTCTTTTCAGAATATGAACAAATTCCAGCAATATATACTTCAGAAGATGAACATATGCAATCACCAACCGATCAGACAAATAATACTACATGTAAGTAATATTTTTTTGCTGTACACTATACTGTGTATGCCTAAAATTTACAGCTCATTCATCTGTCCAGCCGGAGAATGTTGATTTAAAGACGACTACTACTGAAGAACAACAACAACAACCTTTGAAGACTATTGATGATGAGAAGAACAATGACAACAGTAAGATGATAAAACGGATTCATCACACACTGTATCGATTCCAGCAAAAAAACGTAAATTACCAAGTAGGTGTGTGTGTGTGTGTAATTCTAAATATTTTCCCCTAATCACAATAATTAGTTCCCTCAGGTGGTCTAGTCTCCTATGCCATTGACGACGATGAAGATGAGAATACTGTGTTAGACACCGATGATGATGATGATGCCAGTGATGACGATGGTGAGAATACTGACTCAGACAATGAAAACACTCATAGTAATCATGCCTCACAAAGTAACCGTGAGTTCCACCACCATCCCGGTGTTATAGATCCTTCAATAATAGATCAACCACCGACTATTTTCAGCTCTGATCAACCAGTTATTAATATTTACTCTCAGAATCAAATTCACCCCACAGAATTATCCACAGTCAATGATGCGAAAACTTCAAATCCTCTTAGCAATGAAGCAATGAAACCGGAGAGTCTGACAGAACGTCTTATTCGTGAAATTCAACTACCGCCTGAACCTACTGGACATTGTTCTATGGTGTTACAAGAAAGAGTTGAACGTGCTGTACGACGTATGCGATTGGATATTAGTTATGATCCTAATAGAGCTATTCAAGATAATAAAGCATTCCGTAATCCAAGGTATGTACCCGTTTTGTACACCCTATTGTATAAAAATTGTTTATAATTCTTTTTCTCTTTCTTTTAATTTTAGCATTTATGAAAAGTTGATAGATTTTTTGAAAATTGATGAGAAAGGCAGCAATTTTCCTAAAGTAAGTCAATATAGACTAATTAATTATTACTATCTAATATTGTTTTAATTGTAAACCTGATAGAGGATCTTAGGTACCCACTTATCATTTGATTTAGGATGATCTATCTGTGGAACTGAGACTTGGAGTGCGTTGGTAGTCCAGAGGTGGAGTGCCTGTCAGTCATGCATTTGGTCCGGTGTTCGATTCCCGACCGACGACGCACTTTTAAACCCTCGTCTAGCTGGTAGTGATTCCGGTGCATAGGAGAAGTTAGGCGTGAGGCTACCAACATCACCTCATAAAAACCAACACCACTAGTGCCGATGAAATCTCAGCCCGGATACAGAAGGCTAGTTTCGCATATGCCAGTTTACGCCGTCTCTGGCTTAGTAGACGTGATATCCGGCTATCGACCAAACAACGTGAGTACTGCTCAGCAGTCCGCTCCCTCCTCCTTTATGACTGTGAGCGAAACGTGGCCATTAAGAATGGAAGACATGAAAAGCCTGATTAGCTGTCTTTGATCATAGTTGCCTGAGTTCTGTCTCCCGTGTCAGATGGTATAACAGGGTGAGCAATATTGAGGTTAGGCATTGGTGGTCGAGTGCTAGGTATGTGGGAGGGGAAATCAATCGATGAGGTTGTGAAGTTACATCGACTGAGATGGTTAGGACATGTGTTACGCATGTATCCCTAGCCATCGCCTTCCTCGACGAGTGATGTTAGTTGACATAGGATGGATCAGGTTGGAAAAGAGCTAGCGGTGATCAAACCAAAACATGGCCTCATCAACCAGTGAGATCCACAACAGTTAGTTTAAGCCAGCCACGTAGGGAGCTGTAGACTTTCTGACTGATTGGGGTCATCGGGATGGTAAAAGCCAATGAAGGCTGGAAACAATTGGTGATATGGCTCAAAATCGTCCTCAATGGCTGGTGCAGATGCATCCACTCCTTGTGATTTATAATATCCAATGAATCTCTATTGTTCTTCAGTATTACTATTCGTTTTGCTTCACACTTCTATTTATTATCCCTTTTGATGAATCTCTATTTACTCTCGTCTTTTGCTTTGTACGGTACATGGAGGGAGTGTGGCAACTGGAACTGATACACATCTGTGCAAAGTTCTACACTGAAACCAGTCAGTCAGACAACGCTACTGGAACTGCAAAGATTTATTCTTGAAGCCGTATGTTCCATTCGTAAATCATAAGGAATGGTGATGAGATGAGAACTGAAACTTACTGAATAGTGTACTCAACTTTCAGTAATCCAATTATACACGCGAAATCGGTTCTACATACTAGGTCACTTGTACAATTATCATATAATGAATGCGGTTCATACCTTAGTGCATACACGCATAACTTTAAAATTGACGTGAACTGCAATAAAACAACACTAGATTATTTATCTCCCTGACGAAGCTGTGTAATTACATTGTTTCAGAAATGCAAAACTTAATACAGTCCACCTATGTCTTCTGCTACTATTGGGATATTAGACCCACCAGAAAGTTGAAGTTGACAGTTAAATCAACAGAATCTTCAATGATTACTCTTTTGCACATGTTTATACTCATTGCATCAATAATCATACTGCCAGATATTTACTTGCATTCCGACTGGGACATAGGGGGGTCAAAGTTGAATCTTGAAGTCTCAGTAGCGGTTATGTTCTTTCTACGGAGTCGAGTTAGCTGCTTACATCACTTTCAACTTTCCCACTTTACTGAGCTCAGTATCGCCTAAGCGAGGTTAAGTAGTGTGTCAGGGATTTGAACCCCGATGGTGTGCGACGGTGGTTGGCGAGTATCCAATCACTTCATTATATGCTAGACGTGAATATTACTGCAATAGGCTTACGTAGTATAGTGGTTTCTTTTTATCAGCACTGCCTTAGATGTCTACAGCTTATCTTTGAGCATGAAAGTGTAAGCATACAAATGTCATGAATGCTTGTGAAAAAAAGGCAAACTTACCAAACTAAGCCAATTGCCTCTAACCATCTAATATCATCATCAAATCAATGTGCATCGTTGATGGCGAGCTACCTAGTGGCATGATGGCCACATTGCAAACTTGACTGACTGATAGAATTCAGTCTGCACCATACAAAAGGCTAGCCAGACACATCACACTAGTTACTGACTAGCGTCCAGTCAAAGTCCCCAATACAGTCCTACAAGAAGGAGTTCAATCACGAGCCCGAATAGCAGCTCAGTGGTCACGTCTCTGACTGCAAGCAGCATTGGGTGACGGGGATTAGAATCGCAGATAGGGACATCAATTCCTTCAAGGTTGCGGATACGCTTGACATGCTGACTGATGGTGAGTGCCAACTAGCGCGACACCTAAGTCCTGGCAAAGCTTCCTGTAGCCAATTGCCTCCAACCGTCTAATATCATCACTCACTTTTATTTTTCATTGGTGGATTAGGAAATCTATGATCCTTATCGTTGGGGTCCTCAATCCTACTATGAAGAACTTGCAAAAGTACAGAATCGTGAAATTGACAGACTGATGAAATTACAAAAAGAACAGAAAAAGACAGAGGCCAATACATCGACGACAACAGCGACGACAGCAGCAACAACAAACACTAATGCCGGTGGTACTACAAGTACTAGTACAATGAAAAGCACAAACATTCCCAATCCCATAGCAGCAGAGAAGACAAATCCAACTACTGGAGGATCTGTATATACAGGATACATTGGTGAGTGATATATATATATATATATATTAAATAATTGAAAGTAATGGGCTTAGAGGAAGTCATAGCCTTCTATGAGCACCAATCACAACATAGTGTGCTTGCTATCCATTGCAAAATCATTATGTTCATGCAATCGTATTGTGCGTCGGTGGTAGGTATAACGGTTCGGACGCTCGCCGACCATGCACATGGTCCGGGGTTCGATCCCCGGCCAACGGACGCACTCTTTTACCTCGCTAAGCCAGAAATAATACTGGTGAAGAGGAAAGGTTAGGTATGAGGCTAGCAACTCCATCCTGTAAAATAAACACTGCTACAGAAACTTCAAGCCACTAGCTTGAAGCCCTATGTTCCACTGGGAACGTGAAGGAATAAAAAAAAGTCGAAGGTTATTCTGTTATCTCTTTGTGGCCGTTTCTTGAAGTTCAGATTATATTATCTGCAAATTGTATCCACCTACGCAAAGTATGCTGTGGTTGGTTGTTGAGTAGTCAGTCTTTGTTCTTATTTTTCTCATGACCAATATTAGGTACGTAAACATTAACGTAAATAGCTGTCTACCACAATTTTAGCTAGCAGACAGCTCTCACCACACTACAATTGTGACATTTAATTTAATTCTACTTAAACCCAAACTTAGTGCTTTGAAGGGTAGTGTTGTCACATTCATAAATAAAACTAGACTTACAGTAAAATTCACTCCAATTCCCCTTGTCAAAACTCTAGAAAATAATAATTTCTCACTACCTAGATTAATCACATGATGTGTATACTTTCCGATACTCTCAGCGGCGTATCTTCTCAAGAGTTCAAACCAACCTTTTTTTTCAACCTAACCACAGTGCACATCATAAATCGAGAAACTTTAATAATCTCCGATGATATACATGATCAGACAAAACATCCTTAAAAAAAGTTCACTTGACCTATAACTTCACTGAGAGCCGTAATCTAAAACAAGACAAAAAAGTGGGATCTTATATATCTGTTGAAAACCAGATAGACCACTAGACAACTGTTTCACCCTATTTCGAAACTCTTCATCAGTGTTCACCCATGACTCCAACGAAGATCGAACCTAGAACCTTCAGGTTATGACAATTAATTAAGCTCACCGAGCATTCAACTACTCAGCGCCAGAATTCAGTGTTCCATGAGTTCTAACTTTTTCAACTCGTAATATTGTAACGACAGAAGACAAGGGCCAGGCCAGACAGATCGTTTATTAACGAAATCAACAGATATTTATAGATTTTCATGTACATTATTATAGATTATTGTAAGCAAACAAACACAGTCTTCTGATTGGTGGTTTCTCTCTCTGAACGTTAATCTTTCATCTCTTTGTGGCCGTTTCTTGAAGTTCAGATTATATTATCTGCAAATTGTATCCGCCTACGCAAACAAAGTCTGCTGTGATTGGTTGTTGAATCAGTCTTTGTTCATATTTTCTCACGACAAATCTTGAGAACGTAAACATTGATGTAAATTACTGTCTACCAATTTTGGCTAGCAGACAGCTCTCACCACTATATATATATATATATATATATATATATATATATATATATTAAGCGCTACACTAATGCGTTACTCACAAAGTAACAAGACGATACAGCTTAAGGAGTAGATCATTAACGCGTATCTCTCTCCCTCTCTGTCTCTTCGAGTTATATGTGTACATTATTATTTTGGTAAAAAAATAGAAAGAGAAATTGTAATAAGATTTTATGCAACAGAAAACAACTGTGTTTGCCTTGTCACTACTACTATTACTACTACCAAAATAAATAGCCTTCTGTCAGGAGTCAGTGAATGGTTTGAGTCTAACGGTCTTAAACTGAATCCTTCTAAATGTCAAACTGTTAATTTTAGCTAAAGATGTAAGAGACAGTTAAAAAAAGCCGTCGATTCTCATGACAGTTATAAGATTGGCGACAATGATATAGAAATTAAATCAGAAATTATGTATCTTGGACTTATTCTCTCTTCTGATCTCTCCTGGTATTCCCATGTCTCAGCGATCTCCAGTACAATATTCCGCCTGACATCTAACATTAAGAAGTTAAGGCACTCGGGCATAACTCAACCCCTCCTCTTACAGTTCATAAACTCTTGCATCCTACCTATTCTTCTTTATTGTTCACCCCTGCTTATTCTTTCCTGGTTTGCTTAAAAAGGACTATGTTACAATTCATGGAATTGTGAAGACGGTGAGTGGGGTGAGTGGTGGTGTCCCATTGGACTACATAGTTAACGTCGTTGTCGATAGGCACTTGACTTCGTGCAGTAAATTTGCTAAAGGGATTTTGTCTGACTTGGAGCACCCACTTTACACTCAGCTTTCACCTTCCATCTCCTCAGTTAGAACAAGAAGTAACTTCAGAAAACTGTATGCTCGCACGTCTAAGTATAAAAATTCTATCAAACCATACTTGGCACGTATTTTATGTGATGAAAGTAGCGTCAGGCAAGAATTGACTAACCTTTTTTCATCTAGTAAATAAACAATCTCCTCCATCCATCCATCCTTATATACCTTGAAGTTTTACTTTTATTATTTCTATTATATTTATGGTCCTGTTGATTCTTTGTTTTTACTTTCATAACTGCAAACAACAACTTATCTCTATGACTGCTGTAATCTTTGTTTTTTCCCTCACCATATCATGTAAAGAGAACATTATATTCAATATTTTTTTAATCATGCAAGGATTTGTATACCGCATGAACAATACTGTGTGAAACAAGTCCACGGCAATTTCCACTTGTATTATTATCATTACCTTAGCTGTTATTTCCATTTTATATGCTGCATGTTTTTTCGACATTACCCGCATTGTAAATGTGGAAAATTTTTCTGTGTGATTAATTTTATTTATAATTTTAGGAAATTAGATGCAAGATATTGTGATTAATGCTGAAAATTCCATTCTGTATCACAAGTACTGTTTTTGGAATAAAATAAATCATTATTATTATTACTGTCTCCAAGTGTGTACATTTTTGGATTTTTTTCCTCCTTATTTTTAGAACCGAAAAGACCGAGTAAATGGGATATTGGTATGCCTATCAATCTACAATCGCATGAGACTACTAGTACCACTACTACTACAGCTACTACTACTACTACTACAATTACAACTACAGAACCCGTCAAACAGCAGTCGCAGCAACAACAACAACCACCACCACCGCCATCAGTACTTCCTGTTGGCAGTTTAATTAAACGAAACTGCTGATGTCTGCAGCATTGCATAGGGCAATTTTCTAACTAACTAACTACCGTTAAAACAGCTGCTGATAACGCTTATTCCGCCAGCCACTCACACACACACACACACAAACACACACCTTTTTTGTACCTGTAAACATGCACATATATTTTTCCAAGAAAATAAATAAATATTGTATATTTATTGTAAAAAAAAACGTTTTCTCCCACACAAAAGAAATCAAGTTAATTTTAACAACACACCGTTTGGACAGAAAACCCACCAAGAAAGACTATTTGTTCCATACGCATACATACATAAGAATAGAAAAGAAAAAGACTGCCTACAAATGAGAGTGAGATTTCAATGCATTATGCTCATGTTGTTTAACAATATTTGATGATATTGGTTGTAGGTGTTGTTGGTGGTGGTGATGGTGATGATGTTGCGGTTGTACCGGTTGTGTTGGTGTTGTCAGCGGAAAATTGGATTTTACATCAGTTTTAATTAATCCACTACTACTAGGCAGAGTTGATTGATTTAATGCTGGTGTCCAATTAATAATGAAAGAGTTTGTTGCTCGTGTCCAATCATCTTTATAAACCTATAAAAAAAAGTTATAATAAGAAATTCTTAGATTTATGTTAATATATTGAAAAGGCTATAATAATAATATGTCTGTGACATACATGCGGTGGGCAGGTGATGTGTCTGCCTCTCTCACATTATTAGCTGAACTTTTAACCACCTTCAGTTACTGCTACACCTTTGGGTTTCGTAACGTCCATTGACTCGTGCATGTACATTTAACCCCTTCTTTGGTCCCTGTTTCAAGACGAGTCAGGTGGATAGATATTACACTACAGCCAAATAAATATGATCAAATGACTAGCTAAAACTAGCAACAAGTCGACCAGACTCAACCGTGTCTGAAAGACAGAGCGAACAAATGAATAGCTGCCGTATACCTCCGACACACTACTCACACACACACACACATCCGCTATAGCCACGTAGGAACACATCAGTGAATCACCTACCTGCCAACTTAACTAAGTCTAAATAAAATCAGACCTGGTGTCAATTAAACTACTACAGAAGTGTCGATTGTGGTGAACACTCTTAGAAAGTGTACTGACAACCACACCCATACATCCCTCTTCCAATGAGGAGGGCGACATAAGATTTTTTTCACCACACATACAGATCTATAAGTCATTGGATCTGGTCTCAGTGGCTGAATGGTCTAGATGATCCCTTGATTTGAACCCTCGTAGGTGTATATTGATAAAGAGTTCGAAACTAGGACAAAACAGCTGTCCAGTACTCCTAGATGGTTTTCCAAAATGGTTCTCTAACTGATATCAGCTCGTGATCAGTCTTGAAACTAATCCAATCCCCACCCCCCCCCCCAAAAAAAAACTAACTCCTAAATGAATATCATCTACACAGTTAACTGTTAGACTCTAGCAACAGTTTGCTTGTCAAACAAGAAATTTAAATTTTTGAGGTATGATTTGGGTGAATGTAGTTATCTTTAAATATTCCCATTATTAATATTAGAACAAGACGTATAAGCAAACACTATTGTTGTTTTCAATTAGATCTACTTCAGGCTCTACTCTGATTTACATAGATTTATATATAAAGATTTCTACCAATGACGGTGATTTTGTAGATCAAATTATAGTAATAATAACAGTGTGGTAAATGTTTTAAACGTCATGAATAACGATGATTATAATGATAACAAAATATTGATAATAAGGTTTATGCAGGTGGCGATAAGAATAACGAAGGTAGTAATATGTATGTGTATATGTAGACAATTCAATAAAAAAATAAATTAGGTCAAATCATAAAAGTTACGTAATACTAAAGGTAGGTGAAGTGGACAGATAATCAGAGTTTAAATAGACAAATATCATAAAAGTACGAAGGAAATGGAAAATAAGAAAGGGTGGGAGGGTTTTGATTACAATTCATCTACGCCAGGCAAGGGAGAGACAAAGGTAGAACAAACTTCTTTTGTATGCAACGACACCTGGGTTGTTCTCTCGAATTAATTCCCATAGCTTTGGCTATGTGTGAAAGGCGGGTTCGAATTCCGTTCGAAAGGCTCGATGAAATGCGGTAGATAACTTTGAAGATGGCATTATTTCTGTCCACTTGGTGACCGCTATCAATCAAATGAGCCAAAATATAACTACTTATGGTGGCTAAATAATTATCTTTCTAAAGTCTGTGCTTGCGCCTATTGCCTAGAAAATAACATTCAAGACTCAAAGGACCTAATTACTTACTATAATCTCTTCTGAAAAATTGATGAAATGACTATAGCTGCAATTTTTGAAGGTGTTATACTCCGTAAAGTGGCTTGGTTGCTTTGTTCACTAGGGTTTGAGCAGTCAAGCACCACTGCCATACCCCTTATAATACCAGTAGCTTAGTTCAACAACGCACACAACCTTGATACATAATCGCCATCAAGAGGAGATGCACCGTAGGAGAACTTATAGTTTGTGTGTGAGAGATGAGATACTACTACCTGAACGCCAAGATCAAAGCAGCAGGTGATTGTGTCTTAAGGGATTACTACTGCCCGAATTTTCGACTTGAGATGTGGTCCCACAAGGCAGTGGAACATCATCGGGAGCTACGTTCCCATGATTGACGATGACCAAATCACGTTCACAGGCCATCCGATTCGTTCAGATTCTGGAGCTGATGTAAATCAATGGTTTTGAATCAGAGTTCCCCAGCTCCTCTAGGTGGTAGAGCAGCATGTCCACTAAGTCCAGTTGTAAGCGCCGGACGTCCGCATTCACCATTTCGGTTTGAATTCAATCCCTGGAACTAAGATAAAATCCACACAATTGTTTTGATGGAGGCTGAATAATACTATCCAAGTTGACTAGGCTGAGCGGGATTCGAACCTCTGGCCCACAGACAGAAAGCCCTGTGTACGTAAACTCATCAACCATGTTTTCAATCACAAAACTGGGATAAGAAAAGATGGGTTCTATTAAGATTGATTTCTGTGCCATATTATGTTATCCCTCAAAGTTATATATGTACTTATTGTGGTTAGCATGATGAAGCGGATATACCACGTCTTCGTCTAATTGTCTCAAGTGTAGTCTATCACAGTAGATGGTCTTTTGGTTATTACGGGATTCTGAATTTATTAGGCGGTTTACTTCTTCAGCCTAAATATTCTCTACACTTAGTGTACATTACTCACATAGTAACTTCACTACACACAGAATTCATTTGGCAGAGGTAAAGGCGCTGACAGACATCCAAAGACTTCATCAACCTGTGTTATTCTCACTGGTGGCGGTAGGAAGAGTAAATTTAAATGTACTACTTAGTGTGTTGACACTAAATGTCTACGAGTTGATCACGGATTGATATCAGTTAGAGAACCATTGGAAACCAACACTGGACAGCTGTTTCATCCAAGCTTGGGAATCATCGGCAGTACGCACCCACCATTACAGGGGTTCGAATCCAGGACCTTCCGGTTACAAGGCAAGCTAGCTCGTATACCATTCAGCCACTGGGACCCGATTCCTCAATGGCTAGCCCATGAATTCTAACTTCTACCAATTCGTGATTTAGCGCGACCCCAACCAACTATAAAAAAGTAATCTGATGCTCGCTAGTGACTTGCTACAGGATGGATGGAGTTTCCTGGAGTTCTAGTGAGAAGTCATGACCAGAGAGGTCCATGCAGATGTCACGTGCGAGGATGGATGTCCCACCGACGACACTGGTTCGGGTCGCGCTAAATCACGAATTGTTAGAAGTTAGAATTCATGCACTGGCCATTGAATCGGTTCCCAGTGATTGAGTGGTATACGAGCATGCTGGCCTTGTAACCGGAAGGTCCTGGGTTCGAACCCTGGCAGTGGGTGGGTGCGTACTGCCGATGATTCCCAAACTAGGATGAAACAGCAGCTGTCCAGTACTCCAGTGCTGGTTTTCAATGGCTCTCTAACTGATATCAGTCCGTGATCAACTGGTAAAAACAAAACTAACCCTTACAAACCAAACTATAGAAAACGAAATGTCTGCATAAAATGTTAAGACTGAAGTCTACCCACCGTCGATCGTACCAGATGGTAGTTTATAGGTGGGGAGGTGTGTGTGTCAGTTCTTAAGTAATGTACATGTTCAGTCTTCTCAGCTTTTACCAAATGATACATGCAAGTGTTGCTCTGTTGATGGACATATTGTCTTCGCGATAACAATACTGATAAACACATTCAGAGAGAATAAATGTTTAGAAAACAGAAGGATTGAGCAGCGAAGAAATATGCACTTTTCAATTAGATCCTCATCTTACCCTGGCTCTACTCTAATATATTATGTATAGCATTTCCATTACAATACACAACAATTTTACGAATCAAGTGGCACTGATATCTTTGTTAACAATAATTAGTCAGTGTCAACATGTCAAACAGTGAGGTGATAATTAACGAAGAAAATTTATACACACACAATTAAAAGGTAGAAATGGTTGAAACACGTGGATTGCATAATGCATAATTTTGGAAAAACGAAGAGTAATTAAGGAATAAGCGTGTGCTCAGATTGTTAAAGAAAAATAAAACGATTTGGACGATGATAACATGTTAGTCAGAAAAATAATTTGGATAATTATAATTTTTAAAGGGAGGAGGGGGTGCGAAGTAGTCCGGTTTACACATACATGTAACGACGGTCAAGGTAAGGAAAGTGGCTGTCCAAATTTCTACTGAACACACAGGTTTAGCTTCTTCAGGTGGAGTTGAAGCAATAGGAATCCACCAACTGTTTTATTATTTTTCTACCCTTTAATTGTTTGAATTGTCTATCTTGGTTATTATCAAGCCCCGTGACATGTTGACACTGACTAATTATTGTTAACAAACATATCAGTGCAACTTGATTGGTAAACTGTTGTGTATTGTAATAAAAATGCTACACATAATATATTCGAGTAGAGCCAGAGTGAGGTGAGGATCTAATTGAAAAGTAAATAGTTCTTCGCTGGTCAATCCTTCTGTTTTTAAAACAACCAATAAAGGTTAATAAAGCAGGATTTAATGAATTCATCAAATTTCGGTAGAACTCGTCAGCTGAATACTCCACATACGCGGACATATATAGTAATAATAGTGTTGAAGTGAGTTAAGATAATCCTAATGATAAAGGATAGTTTTAAATGAATCAAGAATAATAATAGTGAGAGTAATAATAATAAGAGGTAGAATTATTATTATTATTACTTTGATTATTATTATTATTCTCACTTTTATTATTCTTGATTCATTTAAAACTATCCTTTATCAGTAGCATTATCTTAACTCACTTCAACACTATTATTATTATTATAACTATTACTATGGATATCACTCTGTTTGCAATTCTTGTTAAATTCTCTAATGTCTAATTGTTTATCTAAGTGATGTAATTGAAGCGTAATGCAATTTATCTTAATTTTGATCTCCCATACTCTCTCTTCCCTTATCTAATTGAACATGACCTGGAAAAACATTCGCACCTGTCTTTCTGCATGACTAATTCAATGTAGTTTATTTACTTATCAGTCCTATATCTCCCAATGTAATTTCAATAGAATATATATCCGTGTATGTAGAGTATTCAGCTGACGAGTTCTACCGAAATTTGGTGAATTCATCATTAAATCCTGCTTTATTAACCTGCTTTGTTGCTTGTTTTAAATTCGTATCGGGAAATAAATGTTTCCAATTCTTGAAGAAGCCTTCTGCTTTTACTAAATGGGGATTTTTTTCTATATAGGAAATTGTTTCACTGATGTACACATGAAAAAAAACAACATTGAATCACTTACCTGTATTGTTAAATATTTCACTAAACTGCACAGACGATTAGTAACATGTGCTAACACCAGTTGTTCATTAGCATCACGACGAACACGTACATATAAACTGCCTGCAAGATTTTTATAACCAATTGACCACATATGTTCATTTTGTAATTCAAGTACACCATCTACCGTAGAAGCTTCACGTAGTGCTTTATCTAACGGACTGACTAAATGAGCCGGGGTTGTTTGTAACAATATTCGACCACTATAAAAAAAAAGATTTCTTTAATAAAAAAAAGAGCAATGGAATTATATGACTGCTGATGTTTCTGTGTGCTATTAATAAAAGTAGCGTCCGTGGCATAGCGGTTAGGACGCTCGCCGACCATGCACATGGTCCGGGGTTCGATCCCCAGCCGACGCACTCCTTTACCTCGCTAAGTCAGAAGTAATCCTGGTGAAGAGGAAAGATTGGGCATGAGGCTAGCAACCCTATCCTGTAAAAATAAACACTGCTAAAGAAACTTCAAGCCACTAGCTTGAAGGCCTATGTTACAATGGGGAACGTGAAGGATAAAAAAAATTAATAAAAGTATATATAAGTAATATATGCGGTGTGACGTCATCAGCAGAAGAAATGAGCTGACACTCAACAGATGACTGACTAATTTCAACATAAAACTGTGCAGCAGCTCGAATTGCTACACTTCCTCTTATGTAGCACACAAAGTAAAAGAGAGATAATAAACAGAAATATGAGGTGAAAAGTAATATGGAAGAACAATAGAGTTTTATTCGATATTATAAGTCACAGGGAGTGGATGCATCTGCGCCACTCAATGAGAACGATTTTGAGTCATATCACCAATTGTCTCCAGTCTTCATTGGATTTTACTGTCCCGGCCAGCCCAACCAGCAAGTTCATACCTCCCTAGGTGTCTCACTTAAACTAATTGTTTTGGATCTCATTGACTGACGGAGGCATGTTTTGGTTTGACCATCACGTGCTAGCTCTTTTCTAACTTGATCCTATGTCAGCTAACGTTGCTCGTCGAGTAAGGTGATGGCCAGGTTAAGCATGCGTAACACATGTCCTATCGATGTAACTCCGCAACCCCGTCGATTGATTTCCTCGACGCCTCACCTCAATATTACTCATTCTATTATACCACCTAACAACACAAGGGAGACAGAACGCGGACACCTATGATCAAAGACAGCTATCTGGTGTTTTCATGTCTTCCACTTTCGATGGCCATGTAAGAGAACAGAGCGAATTGCTGACCAGTACAAACGTCCTTTGGTCGACATCCGGACACCACGTCCAAGCCAGAGATGGCGTCAGTTGACAAATGCCAAACGCGCCTTCTGTATCTGTCAATCAACCACAGGAGTTTACGGGATGTAAAACGAGGATTACTGTGAAGTAGATAATACAAGAAGTGAAAGGACAAATTCTTCTGAAAGTAGAAGACAGTATTATTTGTATGAAATGTATTGACCGCAAGGTTGTAGTATCGGTACTTATTGTAATTTGCCTAATAAAACCATTTAGTTTGCCTCTGTCACTACTGTTTTCTGGCTGTGGAACTGTGGTTCATTGATCTAGGCGCCCGAACTTCCAACCAGTAGGTGGTGGTCACGGGTTCGAGCCCCAGTCCTCTGCCAACCGAGGTTTGAGCCCTCAAACACACAGTAGGTGTGGCTGATCGCAAGTGGCTGCTAAGTTACATCCCAAATTTTTGTTTGTTTTCTGGATTCCGAGAAAAAAAACCGAAACTGCAATAGTTCTTAGACGTTTGAGAACAATTGGAGGAGGGAACTATCAACGTCAATAGACATCCAAGAACCAAAGGTGGATGAAATGTAGCACTGGGTGGGGGGGGGAGATTATTGAGTTGACGCTGATATACAATAAGGTGGAAAAGAGTACAAGGTAGAAATCGTTGACGACTAATGAGATAGTTGGACTCATATTGATTGGCTGCTACTTAGTGTGATGATGGTGTATGTATATCAAGATTTCAGTAGGGATATGAGACCTATATGAAGACTGAGAGAGATCCAGACGGACAGCATCCTACTGTTTTCTACAATGACACACAGTTATCGATTTTTGAAGTTGAGAGCATCCCCGAGATGACTATTGTGTAAAGACGGGTAGTTTGTGTAACTTCCCCGTTGAAGGTCAAGACTCTAAATGGCACATCTTAAATCGAATACAACGGTGAAAATGCTAATCACTTGCGAAATCTAAAGCATTATTCGATTTCATATTAATTAAGACATTTATCCACTTTATTGTCTTTACCATTTACATCATTACTGTGGTGAGAGCTGTCTACTAGCCAAATCGGTAGACAGTAATTTACGTCAATATTTACGTTCCCAAGATTTGTCGTGAGAAAATGTGAACAAAGATTGATTCAAAACCGACCACAGCAGACTTTGCGTAGGCGGATGCAGTTAACATATAGAGGATTTGACAGTCAAGATGCAGTCACAAATAGATGAAAGATTAACTTTACGTGAGAAACAACCAATCAGAAGACTGTGTTTGTTTACTTAAATATCCATAGTAATGTACATGAAATATATAAATATGCTTTGATTTCCTTAATAAATGATCTGTTGCCTGACTCTTGCCTTCTATCGTTACATTACGATCTCCGTAAAAAAAATTTCAAATGTATAACGAATCCGTAGTCAGTTGAGTCCCCTTTTTCGGGAAATAATCATTTTTTATAAGAATATATTTATTTGACAAAAAATAGTGCAAGAAAAGAGGACCTCTTTTTACAGTGTTGATCGTGAAGTAATTTAGAAACTAATTCGGCACGATGAAGTGCAGCGACCAAATCTTTATCAGCCTCATTCGACAACTGGCTGGCTATATGATATCGCCAAGTGTCAGGTGATTCACAACCGAAAACTCAGCGAGGCATTTGCAGTGAATACGGGAGTAAGATAAGGCTGGTTACCTGTTATCACCAATGATATTATTAGTTGTATTGTACCGGATTATGCGTCAAACTGTGGGGATTGAGAAGACAAGAATACGTTGGATCACCGATAAGAAGACTCTAGAAGATCTGGATTTCGCAGATGATTTATATCTAATGTCACAGGCAAGTCAAAACCAACAAATTGGCAGCGAAGACAATACTCCAGGTGAACATTGAGAAGACGGAGGTGATGAAGATAACCAACGAACAGCAACAACAACAACCAGCACCAATCACCACCAACGGGAGAGATTTGACAGAGGTTACCTCCTTCACTTATCTACTGTGTGACGATGTTTGGCTGTAAAAGGAATGCTGAGATAATACATCACACTTATCAAGGTACTCTACTCGGATTCAGGCAGCCAGGTGAGAGCTAACGGCGAGTTGTCGTCTGAACTGGTGAAAACTAGTGGTGTCCATCAGGGATGCCACTATCCCCTTTTCTATTCAATTTCATCATTGATGTACTATTGGAATTAACCCTAACTGCTGACTTCAGCGATTCAGGAGTTGTCTGGCTGCCACCAGGGAATAATAGTCTCGTTGACTTAGAATACGCAGATGATATGTTCGTCCCTCCTGGGTGAAGACGCTGACAAAATCCGGAGTCTTCTGAACACCTACGGTGGCAATCTGCGAATGTTTGGCATGCGATTTGCTCCCGCCAAATGTAAAATGATGCTACAGGACTGGACTGGACTGGACTACATTCACTCCCAGCTTGAAGATAGGAAGGAGTGAAGTGGTTGGTGGAGCGTGTTGACCAGTTCACTTATTTGGGAAGTTGCATCAGCCAACGCTAGTGGGTACAGAGGGCTAGTTTCGCATATGCCAGTTTACACCATTTCTGACATAGACGTGACATCCGGCTACCGACTGCTCCGTCCTGCTTTATGGGTGTCAGCGAGACGGGGCCATTGAGAGTGGAAGACATGAAAAGGCCAGCTAGCTGTCTTTGATCATATTTGCCTGAGTTCTATCGCCTGTGTTAGGTGGTATAACAGGGTGAGCAATATTGAGGTAGGCATCGGTCTAGTTCTAGGTAAGGGGGAGGGGGAAATCAACAGACGAGGCTGTAAAGTTATAGCGACTGAGATGGTTAGGACATGTGTTACGCATGCCTAGCCTGGCCATCGCCTTCCTCGACGAGTGATGTTAGTCGATATAGGATGGATCAGGTTGGAAAAGAGCTAGCCAGTGGTGGTCAAGCAAAAACATGGCCTCATCAGTTAATGAAATCCACAACAGTTAGTTTAAGCCACGTCAGGGTCCTCGGGACGATAAAATCCAATGGCTGGAAACAATTGGTGATATGGCTCGAAATCGTTCTCAATGAATGGCGCAGATGCATCCACTCCTTGTGACTTATAATATCTAATAAAACTATATTGTTCTTCCATATTACTATTCTTTTTGCCTCATATCTCTGTTTACTGTCTCTATTTTGCGTTAATTTTTACCTTCTTCTCTTGCTTTGTGTGCTACATGGAGTGTGACGACTCGAGCTGCTACACATCGGTACAAAGTTCTATGTTGAAAATAGTCAGTCAGTTCAGTTGCCTAAATATTCAAAATTGTCAAGCTTCTCAACTTTTTTGGACACTAGGTAGAGTTACTAATGTCATGCGTGTAGTCCTTTGTTTGATGCTGGCAGAATCCTATCAATCAATATAGCAATGTGGCCGCCACCAAGCTAGGTGACTCGCCATCACGGTACACTCTGAACTGTTGTTATAAGATGGTTGGAGGTAATCGACAGGAAGCTTTACCTGACTGAAGTCTCGTACTTGTTGGCATTCATCAGTCCAGTAAGGCGAATCCAGTGTTGCAATCACAGACGATGTTACCACTGAGTTATTCAGGCTGCCGATTGACTTCATGTAGGACTGTAATGGACTAACTAGTCCATTAGACTAACCCAAAGTATATGGGTTCAAATCTCAGAAGGGACATGAGTTCCTTTACGATTGCAGACATGCTTAGCTGACTGGTGAGTCTCAAGAAGCGCAGGAAACCTAGGTCAGTCAGGGCTTCCTGTCAACTGCCACCAACAATTTAGCAGCTTCTCTCGTGACCCAAGTGGTCTGGTGAACAGTGCTTTGGCGTTCGAAACTATGGGTAATGGGTTCCAGCCTCACTGGGGAATACAGATACGTCCAAATGACGAGTCCTGGATTCCACTCCTAGTCACCAGCCAACAATTCACTTCAAGATTGAGTCCTGGGTCACTAACTGGCTGCATTCCTACTTCTCTAACAGAAAGCAGTACACTGTATACAAAATTAAATCCTCCTCTGCTGCGCTCACTGAAGCTGGTGTCCCCCAAGGTGCTGTACTCTCCCAACTTCTCTTTTCTTTCTTTCTACATGACTTACCATCTTCAAATGACACTAATTTTGTCAAATATGCTGACGATCTGACAGTATCTTTGCCTGTCAAATGTCAAAGTGACTGCTCTAAACTTAATGGCTTTCTGTCAGAAATCAGCCAGTGGTCCAAGGAAAGCGGTCTTACCTTAAACCCCTCCAAATGCCAAACAGTCAATTTCACCTTTAGGCATAAATCCGACCTAAACAAACTGGTTGGCTCTCACGAGGTTTGCAACATCGACGGCACTGAAATAGAAGCCAAGTCGGAAATTAAATACCTAGGCGTCATTCTATCTGCTGATCTCTCCTGGTCATCTCATATCTTGGCGATTTCTAAGAAAATATTCCGTCTTACCTTCTACATCAAGAAGTTATAACATTCTGGTATAACCCAACCCTTACTCCTACAATTCGTTAACTCTCGCATTCTGCCTATTATTCTCTATTGTTCCCCCTTAGTTTTCCCCGGGCTACTGAAGAAAGACTATATCTTATTACCTAGGGTGTTAAAGGTCGTCAGCAGGGTAAGCAACGTGCCACTTAACCAGCTTGTTAATATTCTGGTTGACAGGCACATGGACTCATTTGAAAAATGGGCCAAATCCATTTTATCTAACTCACACCGGCCTCTTCACTCACAACTTTCCCCTTGCATCTCATCAGGCAGAGACCAGAAGCCTATATAGGAATCTATATGCTCGCACCAGCAAGTACAAAAACTCAACCATACCCTACTTAGCTCGTGTTCTGTGCAATAAAGAAAGCATTAGGCGTGACACCTATAATTCATTAAATAGTCAGTAGAACAACTGGACCTCGTCTTTCCAACTCATATCATTTATAGGTACAACATTTTCTTTCTTTCTTTTCCTTTTCTCTCTCTCTTTTTTCCGTTTTGTGCTGCTTTGTTTCTTTCTCTCGCTTACGCCAGTAAATATGACAGCACCTACTTTTCTAACACCTTCAAACACTGTTCAGCTTTACCTTTGCTACCGACATGCCAATATGTTGTTGTCATAATGAACTGAGATTTCCTTAATCTATGTAGAATTCTATTTATTGATAATGTACTAACTGGATGCAATACTGTAGTAAAAATGCTGAGAATTCCATTCTGTATCACAAGTACTGTTTTGGAATAAAGCAAATTATTATTATTATTAAAGATGAATGTCGGTCTTCTTCATACTCATTTAAAACTCTCTCAATAATAATTAAACGCATATTTAAAAAAATGTTTTAAAAAAATAACAAATTTAAATTACCTGTACAACATCATAGGTGTCATTGTACCAAATAGCATAAGTGATATAATTATTGCACCTAATGTGTCTGGCAATGGATCTGGAAAGCCGGACATCATCTCTGAACTTTTTGACATATTGGCTAATATAAAATAGACAATACAAACTGTTGTAGTTGTACTAACACCGATTAAAGAGATTGGATTAACTCGAGGTAGTAGGACACGTGATAGGCCAGGAATAATTTGACAAATTGTTCTGCTTATATCAGTTGTATGTTCCTGCGTGTGTGTGTGTGTGTATGTGTGTGCGTTGTTTTTGAGTAAAAGGAAAAGAAAATGATTTATTTATATTATATATAAATGATTGAACACTGAACTTGTGCTTTTAATCTGCGCGCCTAAATCTGTATCTTTTGTTATAATAGTAATTTAAAACAATTAGTTCCCTTTATGAATTTAGTTAGACAAAGCAATAAGAAGACGTAATTTGTCTGAATCGTGTAATGTGTATTTGCGCGCATAACACATTTCGAACAATCTGATCACACTCCACGGACTTGTCATATGTATATATATGAAATTAATAGAGTTAAGAGGTGAGAAAATAGACTACTTAGGTCAAGTTGAAAGGACATATTGAAAGTGAAAATAAAAATGAAGATCACTAAACCAAATAACAGAGGTAACAGTACATCTACCATGGCTGGTATCAAAACAAATTTTACCAAGGAAGGGGCTTAGTGTGATGACGAATTGTTGCTTTGAACGCAAAGAGACTGTTTAAACTTCCTAATTGCCAACTAGGGCTTCCACAAACTTTAGTATACGCCTCAAAACACGTTTTATAGATAGATAGGTTTAAAAGACATGTAAACATCAATTTTATGTCCTGTCTCCTCTGTAATATGTTTCGCGATAGAGGAGCTAGGTCTCCTTTTCTCACCGTTAATGGGTTCTGGGGATTCTATTTGCTTCTGGAGCCATTCAGGAATATTCTCTGAAGCCAGCCCTTACTTGCAGAGATTAATCAGTCCTCCCTCCTGTGTATGTGTGGCCACATGAACACTCAAACTGGTAAATACAGTGGGATGTGACACCATTTTTCGCATGTTCTAAGGGCAGATGGATGGATATATTGGCTTCACATACTCAATTATTATAATCTTAGCTGCATACAAAGTCTTTTTAACAGCAGCAGCGTACAATCTTTGTCTAGTTATCAAGTTGCTATGATCCCCATATAGGGTAGCTTGATGTACACGTCTTCTTTAGGGGCGAGTTGTAGAGTGGATCTTGGTGTTCTGATTGCTTTATATCTCCTGATGAAATTGTCTGGACCGATCGATCTCTGCAAGTAAAGGCTGGCTTCAGAGCATATTCCTAAATGGCTCCAGAAACAAATGCAATCTTCAGAACCTATTAATGGTGAGGACAGGAGACCTGGCTCTTCTATTGCGAAACATATTACAGAGACAGGACATAAAATTGACGTTAACAGATCTTTTAAACCTATCTATAAAACGTGTTTGGGGCGTATCCTAAAGTTTGTGGAAGCCTTAGCTAGCAATTAGAAAGTTTAAACCACCTTTATGCGTTCAAAGCAACAATTCGTCATCACATTAAACCTTCCTTGGTAAACTTTGTTTTGATACCAGTCATGGCAGATGTACTATTACCTCTGTTATTTGGTTTAGTGGTCTTCATTGTTATTTTGACCTTCAAAATATCCATTTCATTTGACCTAAGTCTATTTTCTCAACCCTTAAGTCTTTATTATTTTCATGTGTATATATTCTTATCAGACAAGTCCGTGTGTGATCAGATTGTTCGAAATGCGTTATGCGCGCAAATACAGCATTACACGATTCAGACAAATTACGTCTTCTTATTGCTTTATCTATAATAGTAATAATAATAATACACTTTGACCTCGATTCTTGGGTTCGTTTTCTTCCTCGTGTACTCCAGTGTGCTCGTGTCGGTTGGTTGGCTGGTTATTTATCTTACCTGACTTGGTGGACCCAGCTGTCCAATACTCCCTGCCTGGTTTTCCAATGGTTCTCTAACTAATGTCAACTTCTACAAACCTTTAACTAATCAAATCCCTGCAACTCAACACTGGACCTATAATCGATCAAATATTTGTGTGCAACAGCAATAACTAGGTCTGATTGATTCATGTATTCAACCGAATACACAAAAATATTCAACTGATCTTTATTATTTTTTTTTTCCTTTGAAAGATTCAGTGCAATCATTGAATTAATTTTGTCACCACCTAATTTTAAGTAAAACTAATAAATTCAAGTCAATAAATCATAATTTCACCTAAATCCACGAACACACACATACACACAGTTCGATTATCAATTAATTAATTACTCTGATTATCCCCGAGTTTATTCTTATTGTAATCGGTATTAAAATCTCATTTTTGACATTTGTTTTCTGTTCAAGTTGCCAAAAAAAGTGTTAATATATGTGTAAAACTTGGGCACTGTGGTGGTAAGTAATGCCATATTATTTATTTCATCATGAGCTGACATTAGTTGGAGATATTGGAAACTGGAGTCTGACAGCTATTGTTAGTGTAGCAGAGTCCCAAACTAGGACGAGATAGCTGTCCAGTACTCCCAGGTTTTCCAATGGTTCTCTAACTAATGTCAGCTCATGATGAAAATCCTGTAACCAATCAAATCCCTACAAACCAACACTTGAATTCCATATTAGTTTGTTTATTAGATGTATCACACAGTGCAGTAGTATTATTTACTGGATGACACAGTTTCGAACACAATTTATTGTTCATAATCATTTCATCAATTATAATCACACGACTTCGAAACTTGAGTTTTATAGTTTTCTTTGTTCTCTCCTATTTGTCGTCGTTGGGGTAGTAGAATTTTCCAGATATCTGGGTGGACAGGTGTTGAATCATTCCTGTTACACGTATTCACTCTCAGTTGATTCGATAAACAAAGCTTCTGTTATCAATCTCTCCCTCCACCCTGTTAGCTGTATTAGATTTTAAAACTGTCATCTTATCCCATCCATCCGATTTTATGGTTGTGTGTAACTGCATGTAGTGTGTGCTATAGCTGAACTATTCTCTAGATTTCTTATCTTATTCGGGAATTCTGAATTTTCAGAAGCGATTATTTTACTTTTACGGGTTGGAACTGCTAGCCCAACAACCATTCCTCTCTCTTTTCCCCATTAGCAATTACACACAACCATACAATAGGCTGGATGGGATAAGATGACAGTTTTAAAATCTAATCTAATATAACAGAATGGAGGGAGAGATTGATAACAGAAGCTTTGTTTATCGAATCAACTGAGAGTGAATACGTGTAATAGGAATGATTCAACACCTGTCCACCCAGATATCTGGAAAATTCTACTACCCCAACCATGACAAATAGGAGAGGACAAAGAAAACTATAAAACTCAAGTTTCGAAGTCGTGTGTGATTATAATTGGTGAAATGATTATGAACAATAAATAAATTGTGTTCGAAACTGTGTCATCCAGTAAAATAATACTGTTTCAATGGGTAAAAAAGTGCTTATTTCAAATCGTATTTCAAGTGATTCGGTTCTCATAGCTGTCCAGTGTGTGTGTATAGACCGCTTCGATTTGACTGGTAAGCAATACTGGGTACTGTGAGTGCTAGCCAACTACTCAAATCAATAAATCAGTAGTATGTAGCGTGATGCATTTATGCTTGTTTTCTTGACTACAGAGCACGTAGTTCAGCGAAGAGTCTCTTTTCGGAGGCGAATTCATTTACTTAGCTGTACAATCGCAAATATATTTGTGTTATTTTGTATGTATGTGTACATTAAGTTTGTCAAACAAAAATACAATTCAAGTGTTGGTTTGTAGGGATTTGATTGGTTACAGGATTTTCATCATGAGCTGACATCAGTTAGAGAACCACTGGAAAACCTGGGAGTACTGGACAGCTGTTTCGTCTTAGTTTGGGGCTCTTCATCAGTACGCACCCACCGGGATTCGAACCCAGGACCTTCTGGTTACAAGGGGAGCTCGTTGGTTATGGTTATTTTAACTAAACAGGTGAAGATTGGTAATTGGAGATCGATCCATGCAAAAGCTACTTGGAATGGTCAACTAACAAGCTTCTATAGCTGGGTACCCATTCAACAAAAGTGGAATTCAAATTAAATCACTTGCCACCCGCATTCGACGCATCTGTAGTTCCGATGTTCTAGAAACAGAATTAGATATTTTGAGAGAAATCTTCATCCAAAATGGATACCCACCAAGATTCATTGACAAAAATATCAAACCAAGAATTTGGAGGAATGAAACTTCACTTGCACCGAAAAAGAAACTCTACATGAACTTCGATTTCAAGGGACATTTAACAAGCGATATTCTCAAGAGAAGGATCACATCATCTCTGAGAAGAACATTCTTTGCAGCAACTCTTAGAATAGTGTTCTCCAGTCGCCCACTGATCTGCAGAAGCCTTAAGGACAAGATCCCGCATATGACCACTTCTATGCGCATATATCAGTTCACCTGCTGCTGTAGAGCCAGCCAGGTACATCGGTCGTTCGATGCGCATCCTGTCCAAGAGGATTCAAGAACACTATCCAGCATGGTTGCGAAAAGGCAATAGTGGTGCAATAAGGAGTGCGATAATTGAACACCTGGTTAACACTGATCATTCCATCTCAACAAACGCCTCCTACTTCAAAGTAATCTACAGAGTCAAGAATAACCTACCAATGGCAATACGGTTTTGTCTTCTTTGTATCGCTGAAGCTCTGGCCATTCACATAGAAAAACCGAAGTTGTGCATACAAAAGAGAATTACTCAACCACTTCTACTGTCTTGGTAACAACTTTTTTGATTTTGATGACTTAATTTTGTTTCTTTGCCTGTTCTTTAATTGCTCATAATTCTTGTATTCATTTAGAACTCTTACGTAATTTCGTATTATCTACTTTGTTCCTATGTGCATCCTGAGTAAAACTCACTCATCAAACTATTCATATTATTACATAACTTCTTTTTAACAACTGTTTGTGACAACTCATCACCTTTGTTACTACCCTAATTTCATTAACACCTAATTTTCTTGACTGATTTTGTATTATGTAACTCCAATTACCAATCTTCACCTGTTTAGTTTAAATAACCATAACCAATTGTATTTTTGTTCGACAAACTTAATGTACACATACATACAAAATAACACACATATAGATTTGCGATTGTGCAGCTAAGTAAAAATGAATTCGCCACCGAAAAGAGACTCTTCTCTGAACTACGTGTTTTGTTTTCATTAATGCCTGGATGGGGATTATCCTTGAATTAAATTGCAAATCACGACTTTTGATTTACTTCTGACTACTGAAGCCTGTGCTAAACTTCAATCATCGTTGTCTTCAAAGTGTAACAACATGGAATTGTGTGAAGAGTTTTACATTGAATGGTTTAGTCAAGAATTGGCTAATGGTTAGATTGTTGGCTAACTATAAAACTTGGAGGATCTGGACTTCCCCGATGATATATGTCTGATTTCCCACAAACTGGAAGATATGCAAGCGAAAAGCAACAAGTTCACAGAAGAAGAATCATCAAAGATAGAACTTCAGGTGAACATAGAGAAAACAGAGGTAATGAAGATTCCTCGGCAACAGCAACAACAGACAACAATCAGCATAAATAGAAGGAACCTGAAAGAAACAACCTCCTTTACCTACCTAACTGGGAAGCATCGTTTCAACTACAGGCGGACGGAACTGACGAGGATATCAAAGCAGAGAGGATCGTGAAAGCAAGACAAGCTTTCACTACTCTCAAGTCTGTGTGGAGGTCAACAGCACTCAGCATCAAAAATAAGATCCGGATTTTCAACTCCAATGTGAAGTCAGTGCTACTATACGGATCAGAGACTTGGCGCGTCATAAAGAGCATCTCAAACAAACTACAGACCTTCATCAACAGTTGTCTTCGCTCAATACTCAAGATCAGATGGCCGGCCAGAAAAGATCAGCAACAGGGAGTGATCTCTGCGAGCGAACCAACACAGCAGGAACCGATTGTGCAACAAATAGGCAGGAAGAAATGGAGATGGATTGGCTGGTCATACTCTGAGGAAACCATCAAGTGACATGACTAGACAAGCCATTGCTCGAGTGGAACCCGAAAGGGAAGCGGCGAGTTGGTCGTCAGTGCAAGGGTGACTTGGAGGAGGTCATGTGAAGAGGAGATGAAAACGTGTGGGCAGACTTGGAGCCAGGTGAAGACTCTAGCAGAGAACCGAACGCAATGGAGACGCGCGGCTGAAGCCCTATGTTCCTCTAGGAATTAAAGGATACAATAATAATAATAAGACTCAACCATTACGTGTTAATTTCACGCCATATATACTTATTTATACATGTTATGGTATCTTGTGTACACAAATCGAAAGATAACTAACTAACCTGTAGCCAACTTGAACCACAGGCTTGAATGACATGTGTAAAAGCCATATTGTCAATTCCATAAACAGCCAACAGATGAACACCGAAAGCGATTAAACATGGCGTAATCATATGATTTGAATATATCTATATAATATTACAGATAGAAATGGGATTAGTGAAATTAGAATTTCGAATGAACCGATAAGTATTCTTATTACATAGAAAATATTATTTATATGGAAGGGAGATAATCAATAGGGAATTATGTTTAATAAATAATATACGTCTAGGTTGACAACTTATGGCACTGAAATAGAAGGAACATCAGTGATGCTTGACCAGAAAGTTCACGGGATAACTGAGTGAGGCTTGTTATACACACTGTATTTTATAAGTGGTATTTTGAAGTTGTGTCCGTATTTAGACCTTACACTGCAGGGGTAAATGGGGATGTAAAAATTGCGGAGTCGACTTTTTCTAACCCCCTTCTCTCTAGAATGGAAAGGAAGCATAGCTGGCTTGCTGACCATCTGCTGAGCAGTGCAACTTCTTCCATAGACTCACAACACAATGTCTGTCTGTTTTCGACATAGAACTTTGCACATATGTGAGGCAGTTCAAGTCGCCACACTCCCTCCTTGTAGCACACAAAGCATGGGAAGAAAATAGGAGAAATGCATAGTACAGACAGTAAACAGAGGTGTGAGACAAAGGAATAGTAATAACGAAGAACAAAACAGTTTCATTGGAAATCATAAGTCACAAGGAGTGGATGCATCTGCACCAGTCATTGAGAACGATTTTGAGCCATGTCACCAATTGTTTCCAACCATTGGTTTTTACCATCCCGAGGACCCCAACCAGTCAGGAAGTCCACACCTTCCTACGTGGCTTAGACTAACTGTTGTAGATTTCATTGACTGGTGCCATGTTTTCGTTTGACCACCGCTAGCTCTTTTCCAGCCTGACCCTATATCAGGTAACATTGCCCGTCGGGGAAGGCGATGACTAGGCATACGTAACACATGTCCTAACCATCTCAGTAGATGTAATTTCACAGTCTCGTCAATTGATTTCCCCTCCCACCTACCTAGCACTCAACCGATGCCTAATCTCAATATTGCTCACCTTATTATACCACTTCACACGGGAGATGGAACGCAGACACCTATGATCAAAGACAACTAATCTTTTCATGTCTTCCACTCTCAATGGCCAGGTCTCACAGCCATAAAGGAGGACGGAGAGAACTGATGGGCAGTATACACGCCCTTTGGTCGATAGTCGGATATCACGCCTACGCCAGAGACGGCGTAAACTGGCATATGCGAAACTAGCCCTCTGTATCCATGCTGAGATTTCGTCAGAGATCAACCCGTTGGGGCTGATGGTACTTCCCAAGTAAGTGAAGCGGTCAACGTGCTCTACCATTTCACTTCCTATTTCTAATCTGGGAGTCAGTGTAGTCCAATCCTGTAACATCATTTTGCATTTGGCGTGAGCAAATCGCATGCCAAACATTCGTAGGTTGCAGCTCAGGGTGTTCAGAAGACTCTGCATTTTGTCAGCATCCTCGCCTAGAACGACTACATCATCTGCATATTCGAAGTCAACGAGATTATTCCCTGGTAGCAAGTCAATTCCTGAGTCGCTGAAGTGAGTTAGGGTTAAGTTCATTAGTACATGTATACTGAAGTTGAATAGAAATGGTGATAATGAGCATCCTTGACGGACGCCACTAGTCGTCACCACTCCAGATGACAACTCGCCGTAAGCCCTCACCTGGCTGCATGATTTCGAGTAGAGTGCCTTAATCAGTGCTATGTATTTTCTCTGCATTCCCTTTACAGCCAAGCATCGCCAGAGAACCTCTCGGTCGACAGAATCGAATGCCGCCTTTAGGTCAAGAAATATAATGATTGTTGGACGCCGGTAGGAATGCCTATGTTCTAGAATCTGTCGAAGGGTGGAGATATGATCAACACACCCTCTTCCTGGCCTAAAGCCTGTCTGGTTTTCTCGTGTTTGTGCCTCCCGAGTTCTCTATTCTACTTCAAAATTTAATCTTCCCAGTTGACCAGTTATTCCTGGCAATCTCCCATCGTATATGAATGTTTTATTAACTCTTATCAATCCATTATTCAGATAATAATCAAATCCCCAATCCTCCTGTAACTCGTTAAGCAAATCCAGAACAGATGTCACACATGGACCTATATATATATATATATTCTCGTGGCTGCTATAGTGTAACTGCGTCCCTGTTTTTGTAGCAGAAAAGGGTTCCGTTTACCCTCTTTTTATTAACAATGAACAAGTTGGTGAATAATACCAGTTAGCTAGCAAAAGCGACTTCCACACACTTATGTCAACCTGTAATAACAATAATAATAATAAACTAAAATATCATGACTCAGAAATATATGACAAATAAAGGTAGTGATGTGTATATGTAGACAATTTAATAAATTAGGTTAAATCTTAAAAGTTACGTAATACTAAAGGTAGGTGAAGTGGACAGATAATCAGAGTTTAAATAGACAAATATCATTAAAAGTACGAAGGAAATGGAAAATGAGAAAGAGAAACTGACAACAGTTAAAGAGAAACAACTCTTCATGAAATTGCAGTTTGGCTAGTGAAGTCTTACATCTGAGATTATCGAGAGCAATAAAACGGACCTATACTGCCGCCACCCTTTGTTTGTCATTTTTCAGCTCCCGATCAATTATGATTACTCAAGCGAAAGACAAGCTAGCTAGCTGTGTCACTTCTATGGGTATCTACAAATTTAGTTGCTCCTGTGGAGATAGCTGGCTATATAGGGCGAACAACTAGACAGCTTAACAAACGCATTAAATGAGCATCTTCCTTTATGGTTCAGAAAAGGTCAAATAAAATCTATAAGAAGTTCTATTTTTGGCTCATTTGATTGCTGATAGCGGTCACCAAGTGGACAAAAATAGTGCTACCTTCAAAGTTATCTATCGCATTTCATCGAGCCTTTCGAACGGAATTCGAAGCCGTCTTTCACACATACTCGAAGCTATGGGAATTAATTCGACAGAACAATCCTAGTGTCGTTGCAAACAAAAGAAGTTTGTTTTAACTTTGCCTCTCCCTTGCCTGGCCTAGGTGAATTGTAATCAAAACCCTCCCACCCTTTCTTATTCGCCATTTTCTTCGTACTTTTATGATATTTGTCTATTTAAACTCTTATTATCTGTCCACTTCACCTACCTTTAGTATTACGTAACTTTTAAGACATATATATATATGCTATACACTAGAGTTTCTTACATCAATAAATCATAGGGGGAAAAAAACAAAAAAGGTAAAATAACACAGTGTACTCACCTCTGAAGGTTCAAATATCCGTTCAACAGCTTCTTTTATTTCAAAAAATGATAAGAGAATAGCTAAAATAGTAGCAGCGAATACACTGACAACTTCAAATCTTTCATAACCAAAAGTGTAGGATTCCACTGAGGCTTTTTTACGATATGTCCATAGACTTACCAAAGCGACAAGCACAGAGAGTAAATCGAATATTAATAAATGCGTAAATGCTGTCAGTGTTAAACTAAAAAATTAAAAAAATTATTATTTTTTTAAATGCTAAGAGAAATAAATGCCTACCTGTTACTAAGATTACATTCAATTAATAAGTAGAATAGGCAAATCAAAATGATAAAACTGATACGAAGTGCACGAACTGCTCGAGTTTCAATTTTTGTTAACTGTTTAGTTTCAGACAGTAAATAAGAGAGGGTTGAACGAGCAGACTTGAAATCTTGACGGATAACATTGACTATTTGTAGACAGGAAAACATTCTGAAAATATACAAAAACATAAAACAACATAAAAATAAAATAAATATGGCTTATAGAGGCAGTCAGAAACGAATTCATTTCTGACCGAGAACTTAAACTTAGGACAAAAGTGCCACTTGAGGACATAATGTTGGGAGGACAGCTATGCCTGACTTCCACAGCATTTAAATTCCAAGGGGAAACATACAAACAAACTGAAGGAGTTTCCATGGGATCACCATCAATATCCCCGGTTGTAGCAGATAAATTCATGGATAGGTGGGAAAGCATAGAGATTAAAACGTTCACCCCCACGCCAAAAGTATGGTGGAGGTATGTAGATGACACATTCACTGTACTTAGAACACAAGATATAGATAGATTTCTCGAACACATCAACTCGAAGGTAGAAGCAATTCAATTCACTTATGAATTGGAAAGTCAGGAACGGGAACTGTTAATGTTAGATTGCAACGTAAAAAGGAAAGAAGATGGGAAGTTAAACACACTAGTGTTTACAGGAAACCCACACATTCCGATCATCCCTCCTATGTCAGTAAAAATAGAACTGGTGAAATGTTAAAGTGATAGAGCAGAAAAACTAAGTAGTACCAAGGGAAATCTAAAACAGGGAGCGATACATATCAGAGAAGCCTTGAAACTTAATAATTGCCCTGATAAATTAGTCAGAAAGTATGTAGGGAAATGCAAAAATATAATAAATAATGATAGTAGTGATAGTGATAATAATAATCATATTAATGACGCCATGCATGTCAAATATGCCCAAGACAACACCAAAATTAAGGAATCTAAATCATCAGTAGTAATTCCATACAAGGAAGGAACCTCGGAAACCTTACACAGAATTCTTAACAAGGCAGGAATAAAAGTATCTGGTATTCAAACCCACAAAATCAATTAGAAACAAGCTTTGTCGGTTAAAGGATCCTGCCAGTGAAGCCTTTAAAACAAAACAATTTAGTTTATCTCATACCCTGTCTGAATGATTTTCAGGTCAAATACATAGGTCAAACTAGTAGAACAGGGGCAGTCAGACTAGCCGAACATAAAAATCTAGCAGCAAAATCTAGATTGGTTGACCCGAATAAGATAAGAAATTTAGAGAATAGTTCAGCTTTGGCACTACATACGATCACACACAATCATACAGTAGGGCGGGATAAAATGACAGTTTTAAAATCTAATGCAACTAACAGGGTGGAAGGAGAGACTGATAACAGAAGCTTTGTTCATCGAATCAACTGAGACTGGATACGTGTAATATGAATGATTCAACAACTGTCCACCCAAATATCTGAAAAATTCTACTAACCCAAGGAAGACAAATAGGAGAGGACAAAGAAAACTATACAACTCAAGTCTCGAAGTCGTATGATTATAATTGATGAAAAGATTATGAACAATAACAGATTGTGTTCGTAACTGTGTCATCCAGTAAATAGTACTGTTTCACTGATTGTGTGGTACATCTAATAAACAAACTAATAGGGAATTGCTTACCACCACAGTGCCCAAGTTTTACACATATATTAAAAAATATGAACTTTAGTCAAGGTTTGAGATCATACTTTTCTTTCTTCCGCATTCCTTTGCATTCCGAGTGGAACATGGCGGCTTTAAAGCTGAAATCTTGAAGTTTCAATAGCAGTGGTTTTATTTCTACGGAGTGGGGGTTATTAGTCCCACGTCCAACCTACTCTCTTTTCCAAGCCTACTACGAGCTAAGATAGGTAGAGGAGAGGGTTCTAACTCCTGGACGATGGGAGGCGTGGTTGGTGAGCATTATTCTATGGCGAGAGCTAGCTGCAAGCCAAAAATTGTAGACAGCAATTTACGTCAATGTTCACGTCCTGGGAAAAAACAATGATAAAGCTTAACCTTGAGAAAACCACCAACCAATCACAGCAGACTTAACGTGTGCAAATACGATTCACAGATGTATGGCTTAACTTTCTAAGAAACGGTCACAAGCAGAGAGAAAACAACCAATCAGAAGACGTCACTTCTCTGCTAACAATAACGCTAATAATAATGTACATAAAACTCTATAAATATCTCTTGATTTTCTCAATAAATGATCCGTTTATTTAATTGGTGGATGGGGACTAGCAGTGGAATCCAAGATAATGCGCATTTCGTCTTATTGAGGACTCGTCATTTGTGTGTACCTGCATCCCGCAGTGAGTGATGATGTTCCCACCGAGGCTCGAAACCAGTGCCCATAGTTTTAATCGCCAAAGCGTTATCCACTAGACCACTTGGGCCACGAGAGCCACCTCTTGTGCAACGGACATGTTAATTAAATTGAATTTCAGATTTTCCCGTCGATTGATTGGACCGAGGTGCTCGGTCTCAGGTTGACATGTCGGCTTTTTGCGCAGATGCTTTTACGATGTCCGGGCATGCAAATTGTAATTTAATTGGTGGGTGGTGACGTCAGCACCCACTGGTAATGAAGGTACATACAGTGATGAGTCCCAAATAAGTCGAAATGTGCATTATCCTGGATTCCACTGCTAGTCACCATCAACCAATCAAATTCTAATTACATGCCCAGACATCGTCGGAGCACCTGCACAAGAAGTTGACGTGTCAACCTGAGACCGAGCACTTCGGTCCATATAGTCGACGGGAAAATCTGAAATTCAATAAAAAACGATCTGTTGCCTGGCCCTCGTCTCCCGTCGCTACAATTCTACCACCACACCGCCGACGCTTCGACTAAAAGTCAGATAAATACAACTATTATATTCAAAAACGAAAAAACAAACAGACTTTGAACATTGCGTAACCACGAAAACAGAAATAAAAAGTGAAAAATTAATATTTATTATGCATGTATGAATATATCACATGTATGAAAAAGTTATTGAGAATATTTCATTCTAAAGACGAGTCTTCACAAACTGTCTCCATCGCTTTAGGAATTGTACATGTTTCTGGCAATCGACTAGCAGCAGCACTGTGTACAGTATAACAGTCATCACCACCTGTATCTTCAGTATTACTGCTAGCCGCCAGTTGCTGGCTAAGTCTTTCCATATCCTCTGGAAAATAGGTGGCCAATAGTTTTTTGATCGATCGAATACGCTTGAACACATCGTTCATTTCTTTTTTCAAAGACAGAATAGTTTTTGTATGCGTATTCAACTCATTGCATAGGATACGATATCTTCCCTCGGATAGTTCAGAGACTGTACGAAGCATTTCATTTGTTTTTTCAAATTTTGTCAGCATTATTTCTTGCTGTTGAATTATCTTTACAGCTTCTGGTGAATTGATCACATTGTTTAGTGAGTCGCCGAATGATTCTGCAGCTGACATTATTTATTCATGTTAGTAAGTAATAATAATCTAAATTGTGAAAGAATATTTTTTGAAAAACAAAAGTTGGTCAGGTATAGATAGGGATACAAACGTATGTACACACACACTGATAACCTAACACAATTACTGGACAATGAAATAAATGGTACTTGGTTACAGGATTTCATCATAAGCTGACGTCGGTGACGACGATGATCCTCAGTGATCCAAGATGCAAAGTTCAAACCTGTAGTCGACTGTCATTGGAGCGGTTCGACTCCATCTTCCTCGTATGTGTCTACAGGCTTTGAAATGACATAGAATTAGGTTGGAAAAAAGTTGGGTGTGGTCAAACCAAAACCTGGAATCAATCGATGAAGTCCTTGGTATTTGGTTTGAACCACGTAGGTGCGGGTGGCTGGGGTCATCTAGATGCTAAGAACCAATGCCTGGAGACTATTGATGATGCGGCTTGAAATCGTGCTCAATGACAGTGCTGATGCATTCAACTCTTTGTGATCTCCCATATCGATTAAACCCTCATGTTTTTTCCCACTTTACTATTCTTTCCCCCTCACATTCATATTTATTGTGGTTCTTTTGAATTTCTTTTCTTTCTATTGTCTGACTTTGTGTGCAACATATTGTGACAACTTGAACAGCTATACTTCTATGCAAAGTTCTACGTTGAAACTGAGTCAGTCAGTTAGCATAAAATTTGATAACCTCGATGAGCAACTATTACACTTACGTCGCAGTTAGACCTGGACGTTGTACTGACTACATCAACAATGACAACTAGAATGATTATTTCATCGAGCTATAATCATATCGGTCGGTCGGTTTTCGACATAGAACTTTGCAAATATGTGCAACAGTTCAAGTCGCCACACTCCATGTAGCACACAAAGGAAGAGAAGAAAGTAGGAGAAATGCATAATATAGAAAGTAAATAGAGGAATAGTAATAATGAAGAACAAAACAGTTTAATTGGAAATCAAGAGTCACAAGGAGTGGATCTATCTGCGCCACTGAGAACGATTTTCACCCATTTCACCAATTGTTTCCAACCATTGGTTTTTACCATCCCGAGGACCCCAACCAGTCAGGAAGTCCACACCTTCCTACGTGGCTTAGACTAACTGTTGTGGATTTCATTGACTGGTGCCATGTTTTGGTTTGACCGCCGCTAGCTCTTTTCCAGCCTGGCCCTATATCAGCTAAGATTGCCCGTCGAGGAAGGCGATGACTAGGCATACGTAACACATGTCCTAACCATCTCAGTCGATGTAATTTCACAGTCTCGTCGACTGATTTCCCCGCCTTGCCTAGCACTCGATGCCTAACCTCAATATTGCTCACCTTATTATACCACTTCACACGGGAGATAGAACGCAGACACCTATGATCGAACACAGATAATCTTTTCATGTCTTCTGCTCTCAATGCCATGTCTCACAGCCATAAAGGAGGACGGAGCGGACTGATGAGCAGTACACACGCCCTTTGGTCGATAGTCGGATATCACGTCTACGCCAGAGACGGCGTATCATATTGTGTGCGTCGGTGGCACAGCGGTAGAATGCTCGCCAACCACGCTCACGTGGCTCGGGGTTCGATCCCCGGCCACCGGCGCATCCAGTTACCTCGCTAAGCCAGTGATTAAACTGGTAAAGAGGAAAGTTTGGGC